ATGTTTATGCAGTGGGAGATCATGTCTTCTTGAAGGTGTCACCCATGAGAGGTGTGATTCGCTTCGGGAAGAAGGGAAAGCTTAGACCTCGCTATATCGGGCCTTTTGAGATCCTCGACCGAGTTGGGAACTTAGCGTGTCGGCTGGCTTTACCACCAGATTTGTCGGGTGTGCACGATGTGTTCCATGTTTCGATGCTTCGGAGGTACGTGCATGATCCTGATCACGTGGTGGACTTCGGCGAGCTGCAGGTCGAGCGAGACCTCACCTATGAAGAGGTGCCGGTAGCCATCTTGGACCGGAAGGTCCATCAGTTGAGGAACCGGGCAGTGAGCTTGGTGAAGGTACTGTGGAGCCGACACGATGAGACCGAGGCAACTTGGGAGAGGGAGGATGGTATTAGAAGGCGTTATCCGAACTTTGAGTTCTGAGTTCTCCTTTGTATTTTACCGCTTTCTACTTTTATTTTCGAATTCCGAGGACAGAATTCTTTGTAAGGTGGGTAGATTGTAGCGCCCCGTTCGAATATTAGATTTTTATGAGTTTATTTAAATTAATGGTATTTTGTTTTAATATTTATATATTCCTTCATTTTGTGATTATATATTATATTATTATATGGATATTATAATTATATAGCTCGGTCGATTTTATTTTACCAATTGTCGTTTGAATTTTTATTTAATCGCGTAAGCCGAATTGTTGTCCGTTTTATTTTATTTTCGAACCGTTGCGACCTGAGCCACCTTAGCCTTCTTTCTCACAAATTCATGTCCTAATCGTGTCTAAGTAGCTGGAGTTAGGAGAATTAAGCTTTAGCAAAAGCCTAGTCAATCCAAGTTAGTATATTTAATCAAGTTATTATTTATTTTATTCCTAAGACTAGCATGTGTTTGCATGGGTTAGTCTTATGCTTGTAAGATCTTGTCTCCTACTCCTCACATGATTTAAAAATACCATCTATCAGCCTTAGTGTTTCAACCACTCTACCACATGCAAGATTCTAACCCATGTTCATTTGATGTGAGGTAGTCAACTAATGTCCCCCTCATGCTCCTAAGTTTTTATTATTTTTTTTTTACACCACTTTGTGGCCTATTAAGCCTCTCACCAGCCATTTCTAATGCCATTTTCTCAGCCTTTCCTCCATCAAAGATTTATAAAATTCGTCCTTAAACTCTTCCTCAAAAGCAGAAATCGAGAGTGAACTATTGTGCTATTGGGTGCATGTTTGATTTGTTCTTGAGTTCAACCCAACTATAATTACTAGTACTAGCAAGTTTGCATTCTTCTCTCATCCTACACTCATCAAGGAAGAGATT